TTAAATAAATATTAATTTTTATTTTTCAATAATAATTATTAAAAAAGTGTTCTTATAAGTACAAGTTAAAAAAAACTTATAAAATAATTTATATAAAATGATACATCAACAACTCTAAAATTTTTTTATGACTCTCACTATCCCAAAATAATTATTATCTTTTCATATTTAAACATTATTATTATTATTATTTATGTTAATTAAGTATCATAACACAAAAACTTCTCTTTATCTTTTATTACTTTAATTAATCATCATAACTTTTATTTCTTTTTTCTGTTTTATCTTTTATTGCTTGGAATCTTATGTGTATTTAGTACCAATTGCATGCTTAAAATGTTTGAAACTTGAATTATACCTTATGGCTCCATGATGATCCTTTTTAGTTAAACACACAAGGTATTTGATCACCATATAAAGCTTGCCTGAACTATAAACCATAAACATGAATAATTCTTATGAAAATTAGCAGCCTTTTGTTACTAGCCATTGGTACTAAATACACAGTATATTTGTACTACTTAATTGAGTAATGATAAGGGCAACCAAATTTTTTGGACCAAAATTTAAGACAAATAATTAAGTATGAATTATGTAATTTAAAATATTAAAAATTAAATTTTATATTATTTAATAATTAATTTTTTGGTTAATTGGGACTTAAAATATTATATATGTATTAACTATTTAATATAATGGTTTATGCCACTTTATTTACCCCAATTTTAGTTTTATGTACCACTACTTATTTAATATCTTGATGGTGCATATTGCTCTCTCTTACCAAATTTAATTGTCGCACTTTTTAAATATTGGTGGTCTAATTTAGTTGTCCCTCTTTTTATTTTAATAGCACTTTAAATGCTAATATTTCAATATTTCAACTATCTTAAAAAGAGATGAAAATGTATTAAAATTGTTTATTTAATTATAAATAAGGATAAAATTGAAAAGATAAATTTTAATTATTATAATAAATGAATTTCTCAGTAAAGAAAATGATTGGTACACTTTGTAAAGTTACATACACCGTTACGCACTGACGGTTTTCGTTACTTGTACAGTTAAAGTTGATGGTTTCTATTATTTGCATTGTTTAAACTAATGATTCTCGTTACTTGTATCATTAAAACTAATGGTTTCTATTACACATTAACGGTTTCTATCAATGTGTAATGAAATGTGTAACTGTACAGGATATATGTATCATTATCCTTTTCACTAATTATGATGGATAAATTGGGATAACTAAATCTAATATTTAAAAGGGAGTAGTAGTCATCAATTGTGCAATAATTGTCATATGATCACTTGACTATATCTATAAAATTAATGAGACTAATCATGCGAATTAAATGTGATTATTAGTCAAGCAAAAATATTGGGTTTGTCTGACCTGTGTTAAGTTAATAATGCATTAATTACACTTTTTTTAC